TCACTGGATTAAGATACTTCCACACACACACACAAAAATATATGTAACAGGGTTCTTGTTCTTTCCATCATAATAATTTTGGTAAGTCCAGATCTAGCTTCTGTTAATAACAAATATGGAAACGTGAACGGCATATTGCCACTTCAGGCACTTTTCATATACATCACCACACCACATTCATATCGGGTTAGATGACACATGCATATGAGGTTGGGTGATAGTTGTCTTGGCGCATTTGCGTAATCCCATTTCAAAAAAACTAAAATAGTTATCCTCTAACAAGTATTTAAATCAGTTTCTGTTGATACTAGATTTCACCAATCTGGTAATAGTTGAAATCAGTTTGGATTTAGAATAGGGATCAAGCCATTTTATATAACAGAGAGAATTAGGTCATTAGAAAATGAGCTAAGGAATAAAAATAATATGTGTTCTAGATTTTCTGTGGACTTGTACATGATTGTGTTTGAATGATAAGTTTTCTATTTATACATGTTGAAATCGTTTGATTTTTCTTTTTCTTCTTGAAATTTATAGATGTTAAAGTCGTTATATTTATCATAATTTATCAAATTACAATCGATAGATTATCATAAAAAAAAAAATATGTATACTAAGTCATGTACAACTTAATGTGTCCTAATAAGGTCGGGTATTATACTTATAAGATAGAAACATTAGCTTCTGTATTATAAGTCAAAAAACAGAAACAAACTTGTGTTTCTGATATTGTGGACAAAAAATAAAAATGAAACAACAGCTTTTCATTGATAAGAATACAATTGAAAAAAAAAAACCATTTCTCATCGTAAAAGCATATCTTAGAAAAATCTCATGCTTACCTGCTAAACATGTCTTTGTATAGTGCAAAAGTTATAAACAAGTTGAAAGCCCATACGAAACACGGAGTTTAAATGATCTCCAACTACAAATAGTTATTAGCTGATTCCATTAAATAACTAGTTATGTCGGATAAAAGTGATTAGTGTCTCTAATTAATCAGTCAATTCATTTTTTTATGTATAATCGGTGAATGATATCGCTGACGTCTTATAGGCACGCCTTTGTGTCTGTAGTATCTGAGCCGTTGAGGTACTTTCACATCTGCAACTCTTTGATGTTTCATTTAAAAATGTAGATTTGCATTGCAAACAAAATCTGATTAAAATATTTTTAAAACAAAAATCTGCTGATCCTTAGAATAGAGAGAATCTACACCTTTTTAGTACGGAATTCAAATATCTAACAATACAAAAATGTTGCTGATCATGGATTTGCACTATTGAAAGTCCTCATATACGCATCTACGTAGAACAATATCATGTTTGATTTCAAATCGGTGAAACTTAACATGATAAACCCTAACTCTGACCCTAGTACTAGAAAATTACTTTTATGTTTGTTTTGCTAAATAGCTATTATGTTTCTAAACGTAACAAAACATGACAGTCGACAGTCGTTTTTAAAATTCTGATTCACCATTACAGGGGGAATCTAGTATTTATGAAAAATATTTTCAACATGTCCCATTAAATTTTTGATAAATAGCTTCCGATATATTCACATAATTAACTACATAAGCTTAACCTTCGTTTTCCAATTTTTGGATGATATTGAAAAGGTTAAATGTATTTAGAAACAAAAACCATTTGATAATTTTGGTTTAAAGGTCATTTGGAAGAGTTGTACAGAGGGAAGTGAAGCAAGAACAACTATTGTACTCAACCAAATGTCTTTATAAATTTTTGGTAGATATTTGATATAGAAAGGTGGAACACTAGACACTGGTTCTATTGAAATGTTAAAAAAAAAAAAAAGAAGAAAATATTTAAAGAAATATGAAGATAGAGTACTTACAATCTTACAAATATCTAAGAGGTATAGAACTATAAGACCACCTGTCTCATGGTGACGCATAAAGACCATAAACTCTTTCATTATTATTTAGTTCACTTCTATAGTTTATTTTTTGGTTAAAGACTTCTATAGTTTATTGCCATAATTCATTATGTGGAATCCAACGAATCTTATACGACAACAACAAACATTATTGTAAGATCGCATGTATAAATCTCTTCGACACTTGGAGAAACTTTAGTGGCTCAATTATGTGTATCAATTTCAAATAATCAAGCACCATCAAATTCTTTTGTTTTAGTTGTGCTTTTTAAGAAACAGTTGATTAAGAAAGTTAAATAATAACAATAAATCACAATTATTATCTCTGCATTAAACTCCTAGATCATATACGTGGCAACAAAATAGAAGTCTCAAATAACTTTAGCATAAGAAGTATTATTCTATTGGATTTGATGCTCGGAACGCCATGTTACCCAATGCCTTAACATGATATCTTTATTCCTGCCTATGCACAAAAATAATTAATACTCTCTGTTTCAGAAAGAATGTTTCAGAAAGAATGTGGTTCTGACACTCTTCACACAAATTAAAAAATAAGATAAAATGTATTTTATACCCTTATTAATTTATAAAAAATGATACTTAAAATTATATTTATAACTAATTTTTTGAATTTATTTTTGAAGTTAAAAATGGTATTTTATGTCAAAATTTACATTGAAATTCTAAAACGACATTTTTTTTAAACAAAAATAAAGTGTCAAAACGACACTCTTTGTGAAACGGAGAAAGTATATAGCCCTGTAATATTCTTGTTTGGTCTTTATGAAAATTTTTTATCGGATGTCCGCGAGGGGACAGTGCTCATAAAAAAAAAATGAAGTTCGGATGACTAATTATAGCATTCATACCACTAAACTAGGACTAGAATCCGGACCGTTTAGTTTTTATTTGGTTAATCCGGTTTAGTTTTTAACTCGATTTTGGTTTGGTTTGGTTTAGAGTTTTTTTCACCTCTGATTTAAAACGGAGCTGAGATAGAGCAACAACACATATCGATTGATCCCATGATGAATCGATCGATCCTTGGAAAATTTTGTTTTTCTAATTCTCTTGTTTCATCCAAGTTGAAATTAGTCAATTCCGACCTAGATCATACCTAGACATATTTAAACCTATTTATAGTTATCTTTTAGACTATGTTTTATTTTTCATTAAGACTTGGCAACTTTTCTTTGCGCGACTTTGGAAGACTAATATTTGACTCTACACTTTTAAAAAAGATTTCTGAATATTAGTTTTATCTATTCTATTTTATTATGTGCTCTTTTTCATCTCTATGTGTTTTCTCTGTAATTAATGTCTGAGTAATCTCTTAATCCTATTTTTTTTGGATTTCAAAAAATATCATAAATTACAAAATCAGATTTGTTAAAATAGGGAATCACTTTAGGGTTCTTCATCTGTAGTTCTAACATTTAAACCACTAAACTAGAATTAGCAATCCAATATATGGTTTACTTTTTATTTGGTTAGTCATGTTAATCAGTTTTTAACTCAGTTTTAGTTTGATTCTGTTTAGAGTTTTTTTTTTCTCCCCCTATTTCAAAGAAAATGTACAAACAAGAAGGAGTAAAATAGTAGTCATTTTGATGATGCCTTTGGGGATGGAGACTTTTAATGGGCAGACGAGAGGATATATACGAGAGACTTATGAAAGCGACCTGTGAAAAGGGGTAAACAGAGCATTCAACTTCTTAATTAGTTTTAATTAGTTCTAAGTTGTACTCTTCTTTTCTTTCTAATAATATTCAACTAGTTAACTTTCGCGCGTCTTGCGTGGACTATATAATTTCCATTTGATTGTTTGAAAATCTAATAGTAGTTTGGATTCATTTGTTTTTTATTCTTGAGTATATTTATTTGTTAGATTTTCTTGTATCTTAATTTTGGAAGACATAATCGTGAAACAGTATAGAATAGAAGAGAATAAATAAAAACATAGTAATATCCAAATAATTTAGTTTAAGTAGTTTTGAGATCTTTTGATCACTGTTCTATGTATTTTAGACGTAATATTTTGAAGTACTGTATGAACTTATTCGGTTTTGGTCACTGTTTTATGTGTTTTAAATATCATAAATACCGTCATTATATATATATTTTTTTTTAAAAAAAAAAACTTTTTTGTTAGAGTTATTTTTTCTTAAATTTCAGTTATTTTTCTTTTGAAACGACATTCCATTAATTTTAAAATAGTTTTCATTTTTTGTTTCTTTTAATATTTTTGTTAGATTTTTTTCTAAATTTTGGAAATATAAGAAATGGTAAACACTAAGAGATATAGATTCTATTTTTTTATTTTTAAATTTCAGTTATATATAATTTTAAAAACGGTTTGTCTGACTATGAAATTAAACATTAAATCATAATAATTTAGACCAGTTTGTTTAATTTTTTTTTACACATCATCAGATAAGAATTAATCAAAAAATGACAAGTAATTGTAAAATAGGCCTAAATAGTTGTTTTTTACAGCCAAAATTCATTATAGAGCTGACAAATAAGCGAAAGACTGTGAAAATTGCTGTGAGCGCGACACATAAGCAAATCACTACACAAACAAGTATATAGAGTTTTTCCTTTCTCATGTCTACAATTCTAATATTATCTTGTTTGGATAAAATTTGCTGAATAGATTAGTTATTCTTATTACTAATTACGAATTGAAGAGCTTGTAGAACTATTTTTGTAACTTGAGATTGAAAAAAGTATATATATATATATATAATATTTCCAAAGAATCTTGACTTTAGATAGTGATAACCTTATAATGTTGATTCTAGAAAGAACATAACTCTAAAAATGAAAAAAGATCTTTGTCTTGTCACTAGTCTGTATCTCTATAGAAAATAAACAAAAAAAGTGGTGGAGCCTAGGCGTTAGAGTGAGTGCGTGCATATATAAATATCGAAAGGGCAGAGAGAAAACAGAACACAACATTACGCAAAGGAAAAACAGAGGAACACTTAGGTTTTATAAGACAGAGAGACGACAAAAACAGATTGGTGGGTCTGAGGGAGAAGGAGATCTAAGTTCCTCTTTTAGCTTTCACTTAGAGAAAAAAATAAGAAGAAAGGATGAGTTCGTGGGGAGTGATGGGAGGAGGATGGGGAATGGTAGAAGAAGGTTGGAGAAAAGGGCCATGGACTGCCGAAGAAGACCGTCTTTTGATCGATTATGTGCGGCTTCACGGTGAAGGCCGATGGAATTCTGTGGCGAGGCTTGCGGGGTTGAAGAGGAATGGCAAAAGCTGTAGGTTAAGATGGGTTAATTACTTAAGACCAGACCTCAAGAGGGGACAAATCACTCCTCATGAAGAAACCATTATCCTTGAGTTACATGCTAAGTGGGGCAACAGGTAATTACCGTTAACTTTGATTGTTTATTTGCATTTACATGTTAATAAAGTGTGTTTTCTTCAAATAGAACCGCAACCTTTAGCTCAACCTTTTTGCCATCAAGATTGAAGTTTGATAGTTGAAACAGCTGTAGCCTTATTTTTTCTTGTCTGATGGTTTTGTAACTATAGGTGGTCAACAATTGCTCGTAGTTTACCGGGAAGAACAGACAACGAAATCAAGAACTATTGGAGAACCCATTTCAAGAAGAAGACAAAATCTCCAACTAACAATGCGGAGAAGACGAAAAACAGAATCTTGAAGAGGCAACAATTTCAGCAGCAAAGACAGATGGAGTCGCAGCAAGAACAACAGTTGCTTCAATTCAACCAAATCGACATGAAAAAGATCATGTCTTTACTAGACGATGACAATAATAACAACAACAATGGTGATAATAACTTCACTAGCAGTAGTAGCGGCAGTAGTGGCGAAGCCGGTGCATGCTATGTTCCTAATCAGATTACACATTCAACAAGAAGTTCTGGTTATGACCCAAATGATAATGGGTATTACCCGGTGGTTCCGGTGCCAATACCTGAGGCTAATGTGAATGAAGATTACGCGATTTGGGACGGTTTATGGAATCTGGATTTGGAAGGACAAGGAAGCTTTGGTGGTAGTGCTTGTCCCCAAGAAAGCATTGTTTACAGAACTTGGTTATTCCCTTCTGTTAGCTTGACCATTTAAGTATCTTATCTGCCAGAAAATGGAAAAATAAAACTTGACTGAGAAGTTAGGTCGAGTTTGAGTCTGATTTTGTTTCATCTATTTTGGTTTTTCATTTAACATTAGTAGTTTTGGTATGAATTGTGTGTGATGTAAGAAACTCATTGTATATTCGAGCCGTGTCAGGTTATCCCTTACAAGAATGATGTAGTAGAAACTCTCTATGGAAAAAAGGTGTGTTAATTGTAGTACAGCACAACACACTCGAATAGATCAAATAAATTTTTATTGATATTTGCAAACTTTAGTGAAAATATCTTCTTAGTGGGACGAATAGAGTTTAGTAAACTATCCCAACTTGGATTATTTTAAATGAATTTTTAGTACATTATTTACTTTTATGAATTTTGTTGTTTTTAGTAGTTAGGCTTATGATTCATTTTTGTTTCCAATTGTACTACGCTCTTTGCCTCTTTCAATAAACCTCTGGTACTCTATTTCTGTCTCTAAACTCTATTTTTAGAGTAAAATCATCTGCATTAGTACTCTATATCTTACTCTATAAATAGAGAAATGAACAGTATATCTCTATATATAGAGAAATACCGTATAGAGAAATACTGTTTATTTCTTTATTTATAGAGTAGAACTTTTTTATTTACAAAACAATCCTTAAACTTTTATATCTTTTTATTTGACACTTAAACAATAAGATATCACCTAATATTATATTTAATTAACATATATTAATAATAATTAGTTATATAATCATTTAAAAGTTTAAAATAAAACAGCAAAATATAATAAATAAAAAAATTTAAAATATAATAATGTTAAATTATTGTTAAAAAGAAAATAAATAAAAGTTTTTTAAAACATTTAAAAGTAAAAAGACTTGTAAGTAAATAATAATAAGATTTACAGTCAAATATAGAGACAACCATTGCAATAAAGAACTCTATTTTTAAAGTAAAATATAGAGACAACCATTGCAGATGCTCTTAAGCTTAAATGCAACTATTTTTTATTATTTTACTAAACCTCTAGCCAATTGAATAATCCTCCAGATCATATCTCACTAGACCGTTCCGTTCAGGATCACTAATTAATATATGGTTCCCGTGCAAAAACTAGCCGCGTTCTAGGTACACGTGGATATTATCTTTTACCTCCAAAGTAAGCTGATCATAGAGAATATCTGGAATTGTCGAGATCTCTGGAATTGTCATTATACATACCTAAGTGGGTCACTTGCAAACGTTAATTAGATTTAAGCCTAAATGGGCTTCTATTAGCTTAATTAACAATCGTTGCATTACTTAACCTTTTCAAAGAATCCAAAAACTCTAATCAAATTATTGCGTTCCCCTTTACTAACAAAACGGAGTGGCCCATATTGGGTGGCAAATTAGTTCAAGCACCTAAATTACTGCCATAACCCTATCTTTTAAAACCACTAGCTAACACAATGATACTTTTATTTCAACCATTCTCTAATCCAAAATGTTAAAATATATAGAATCCATTACCTCGTGTTAATTTATATTCAGTTTGGATAACTGTAGAATCGTGGAACCACGAAACTTAATGAGATTCCATTAGCTTCTTCCTTACAATGTTACGCATCATGTTTTAATTGTTGCATATGTATCAAATTGTAATTGGGTCATGCATTTTTTTAGTTCAACGTATCTTTCGTTTGTTACCCAAAAAAAAAAAAAAGACAAAAAATGCGAAACTTTCAATTACAAATTACAAATCTACAATATTGTATAACTTGAATTTTAAGTGGGTGGTTGTAAGAAAAAAAATATTAAAATACTTACGAAACCCTTAAAAAATCTTGTTGCAAGTGTTATTATATTATACATATAAACACACGGCCAAAAATAGGCCTATACGTTGAACTTTGAAACCAAAGTAGAAATTTTCTAAGGAATATCTGAACTAGAGACATTTTCCAGTAAAATACATAGAATTTGCTGGCAGCAATAGTTTTCAATGATACTAAACTACTACTAATATAGTTAGAATCCAAGGGAATATTTAAGTACCGCAAGCAATTGCAAAGTCAGTCCTTGAATCACTATTATTAATAAGTAATTACTACGTATTACTTAATTTTTAATATGCGTTATGTGGTAATCCATGATGTCACCTCATTTCGTACGATTAAAAAAGCTACCTACTAAAATATGTGAACATTCTTCGACATTAAAAAGAAAAGGTTTGATTTTGTCTATTTTGCTGAGTGTCAATCCTCATTATAATGTATTTACTCTCTTTATTCTATTTCTTAGGTTTTCATCAGCTAGTTTGTAATCTGATGAGCTAATTGATTCTCATTTGTACGTATATATTATGATTTGAGTAGATATTTATATAAATAAATTTTTATTTGTAAAATATTATAGAATATTCTACATAAATAAATATTTATTTATAAAATATTACATAAATAAATATTTACTTCAAAAATATTATATAAATAAACTTACAAATATAGAAAGTTAGTTAAATATTCCACCATACGAGATAGTTAAATATAGAGTTCGCATATTTGTTTTGAATATATATAAATATAAATTAAAAGTATATCGTTATTTATTAAAATATTAAAATATATTATATAATTTTAAATAATAGTTAATCCATATATATGAAAAAATACATTTAAATTTTTGCAATATTTTTTATTTTTATTTTTATAATTAATAGTATCACTTTCGAAAATCAATTCAATTATTTTTATAAAAAACTAAAATATATTTTCAAAATTTAAATTATATTTTTTTACGAATTGAAAAAAAAAAAATATTTTACTAAATTGCAAAATAGATTAAGTAAATGGATTTGTCCACTTTAACAATCCAATATCTAATTATTATTAACACATATTATATCATTTATTAACTAAATATGATAGTTTGATCTCTAATAAAATATTCAGAATTAAATTCTTATTTTATAGATAAAAATATATTTAGATTCTAATCCATGTTGGTATATATATAAGTATATATATATAATATAACCTCTATAAATTAATACTCGATAAATTAATATTTCGATAAATTAATACCTCAATAAATTAATATATTTTTTAAATTTCAAATTAATTTTTCGGGCTGATTTTTATATCGATAAATTAATAACTCGATAAATTAATAGAATATTGCAGTCCCGACATTATTAATTTATAGAGGTTTAACTGTATATATATTAACATCATATCACTTTTATATTTAAAAACTACATATAATTAAACCGCATAACAAAACTAACTAAAAAGTTTTATTCTATGATAATATACAAATAAATATTGGTTATGTGATATTTATATATGTATTATTATCTAATTACCACTAATTTTATTTATTTATATTTTAAAAGGATTTTATACCCAATTTTAATTTAATAAAAAAAAATTTAAAGATAATTTAAAAAACATTACACCGCATACAATGTGCATGTTAATATGTTAATTCTTTATAAGTGAATAACAAGTGTGTCCTGTAATATAATGATTAAGTTTACATATATAGCCAAATAGGCATAGGTGGGACATTAACCATTATTATTATAGCCATAAGGTTTGCTAATTAATGAAATCCTATTAAACGCCATTGATTTGTTGCATTTAAGGGGATTTCTCTTTTTGGACGAACCTACAACGTGGGAGAAAAGTGTACATGAAACTAGTCTGGACTTAGCCAGTAAATCCATCTCAGCATGACAGCATTGGCAGCTCAAGGTACAAAATGAAAGAAGGTAGCAGCAAAAGAAGACATAATAGTCCTAGTTAATTCTAACAAAAGACCATTAGAGTTTACTCGAGTGGCCATCAGATTTGAGGAGGAAAGTGAGCTCCTGACAATCCGAAAAACAAGGCAACTTTGAGATGTTAGCAGTTCTAGCAGAGGAGAGAGCAAACTTGACCACCATAGCTTTGGCTGCAATGGCAAAAACAACAAAAGTTCGATGATCCGGTCCTTTGAAAATCTCTAAACCATCATTATTTTTAAGAATCCAACCCACACCACAGTTTTGCCTATTAAATGCAATTTAAGATTTTTTTATGATAATTATGCTTTTAATTTATCTGAAATCAACCATATTAGATATTGTAGTGAAAATTTATTTAAATCGTATATTTTTTAAGATTATCTATATCTGATAATTATATTTTCGTTTAGCTAATTGCCACAATTTTTGTTGCTAGATTTAATGTTTTTTTAATGTCATATATATACTAGAAATTTGAGAAAAAAATGGAAATATACATTCTAAGAGTCCCACTCTGTGTGGGAATCTTTTTACCTCTTCAAAAATCTTAGATGCAGGTTCCTTGGTCAATATTTTGCTAACGTTCTACGTCATTCATTTTTTGTGTGGTTAAAGGTTAATTCGAGTAACTAACTTGATTAAATTAATTCGATTAACTAACTTGATTATTCAAATAAATAATATGACCAGATAATTTAATATTTTTCTTGTTTTTGTTTATGTGGAAGTACCTTGAATACAACTAGATTATCATCGTTGTAATTTTTAGATATTACGATAAATTGACGACCAAGAAGTGAATAAACAATTGCGTCGTCCGATTTATTAACTATATAATTCATTAGACAATAAGTTTTTTTATAAATAATTTATATATGCCCTCGCTTTTTATATTTATTAACTACATGCGTATCACTAAATCCGTAATCGTAGATTCCAAGTAATTAAAAGATTTGGCAGATTCCATCTCCAATTCAATAATGTTGTTATCAACCTTTCATTTTAATTACTAAGTAACTACGAATTCAATTGGTAGTAGGAATCAAAAGTCAACCCTAAAGCTCCTCTTCCTCCCTTTAATAAACACAAAGACACAATCTTTCTTCTTCGTGTCTCATTTTTCTCTCTAAGGGTTTCTCAACATGTCGGGAGCTATAACATGCTCTGCGACCGATCTCTCCGCCCTGCTCGGCCCCAACGCCACGGCGGCGGCTGCTTACATCTGCGGCCAATTAGGCACCGTTAACAACAAGTTTACCGATGCATCCTACGCGATAGACACCACTTACCTCCTCTTCTCTGCTTATCTCGTTTTTGCGATGCAGCTTGGCTTTGCTATGCTCTGTGCTGGTTCCGTGAGAGCCAAGAATACGATGAACATCATGCTTACCAATGTCCTTGACGCTGCAGCCGGAGGACTCTTTTACTATCTGTTTGGCTACGCCTTTGCTTTTGGCGAATCCTCCGGTGGATTCATTGGAAGACACAACTTTGGACTCAAGAACTTCCCAACTCTTACCTTGGATTACTCCTTCTTCCTATACCAATGGGCGTTGCAATCGCAGCCGCTGGAATCACTACCGGTTCCATTGCTGACAGGACTCACTTCGTGGCTTACTTGATCTACTCTTCTTTTTTGACCGGGTTTGTTTACCCCGTCGTCGCTCACTGGTTCTGGTCAGTAAATGGTTGGGCTAGTCCTTTCCGTTCAGCAGACCGTTTGTTTGGCACTGGAGCCATTGATTTCGCTGGATCTGGAGTTGTTCACATGGTTGGTGGTCTTGCAGGATTATGGAGTGCACTTATAGAAGGTCCTCGTATTGGCCGGTTCGAGGAAGGGGGTCGTCGTGCCATTGCTCTGCGTGGACACTCTGCCTCGCTCGTTGTTCTAGGAACTTTCCTCCTCTGGTTTGGTTGGTATGGATTCAACCCCGGTTCTTTCACCAAGATCTTAGTTTCTTACGAGTCTGGTTCTTCCTACGGCCAATGGAGTGGAATCGGCAGGACAGCAGTTACAACCACGCTCTCTGGATGCACAGCAGCTCTAACCACACTCTTTGGAAAACGTCTTCTCTCAGGCCACTGGAACGTAACTGACGTTTGCAACGGGTTACTTGGTGGGTTTGCGGCTATAACCGCAGGTTGTTCCGTGGTACAGCCATGGGCTGCAATTGTTTGTGGGTTTGTGGCTTCCCTCGTCCTTATTGGATGCAACAAGCTCGCAGAGATCCTAAAATATGATGATCCTCTTGAGGCAGCGCAACTACATGGAGGGTGTGGAGCGTGGGGGTTGATATTCGTAGGACTGTTTGCAAATGAGAAGTATATAAACGAGGTTTACGGTGCCGGCCCGGGAAGGCGTTACGGGCTATTGATGGGTGGAGGAGGAAAGCTGTTGGGAGCACAAGTGGTTCAAATACTTGTGATTGTAGGATGGGTTAGTGCCACAATGGGAACACTGTTCTTCATCCTCAAAAAGCTTAAGTTGCTTAGGATCTCGGAGAAGGATGAGATGAGAGGAATGGATATAGCACGTCACGGTGGTTTTGCTTATATCTATCATGATAATAATGATGATGAGTCCAGTCAGTTTCCAAGGGTGAGCCCTGGATCTCCTTTACCTCGTTCTCCTAATCATCCAGCCGTTTAATTTTGTAAGCTTTTTTAATGTGATTTTATTGCCGTTAATTACTGCTGAGGTATTTTTGCATTTTTAAATACAAATCTTGATTGGATTTGATTTTTTTCGAGTGATTTATATATGTGTGTGTATCCTTTTTCTAACTCAATAATTCCAAATTCTATTATTGCTTGACTCGTTTAGTGTTTTTCTCTATTTTCTAGAAACTAATACATATTATGGTTACACAAAAACTATAACTTAGTGGTATAGTAGCAGAACTTTAATAATAGTAAAAAAAAAAAAAGAGTGAATCCACCTAAGAAAAAAGCATCTATCATCAAGCAAACAACTATAAACTATCTGAAACCTGGAAGAGATCAAAACTTGTAGAAGTTGAGAACGCAAGAACCTTCAGCGAAAAGAGTGATGTTTATAGCTTCGGGGTAGTTCTCATGGAACTGGTTTAGGTCACAGTTCACAGAGCCAATAAAACTTGGTTAGTTACTCGCTTAGTTTCAGCTCTAAAACAGAATCGGTTAGATCAAGTTAATCCGACAAACGGGTGGTGAATGCAGTGAATCATATGGAGATTCAAGAAGCAGCCTTGTTGGCGGTTAGGAGCACAAGATTGAAGGGAGAGGAGAGGCCAAAAATGAAGGAAGTAGCTGCAGAACTTGAAGGTTTGAGAGCTCTGGTTAAACCAAGGTTTAGTCGATCTCTATCAGGGTTTGAAAAAATGAACGCAATAAATGACATGTCCTTCATTGAAGCTGAAGTAACAATCTATCTCAATCTAGCTTGTTTCTTTCTTCTCTTTGGTTGTCTTTGTGAAGCCTTTAACTATTATGTTGCCATTTATGCTAATTAATCAGCAATAGAATATCGTTGATTGTTGACATGTGTAACAAGAATTTTTTACTTGTGGTATTTTAAGAAAAGAAATTTTTGAAACAATGTAACTTTTATACAATAAAAAAGAAACATGTGTATTAAGTGGGGAAAAAATAAGTTACATGAGGTGGGTCAATGCCACGTGGATGTCAAATAGTCATGCACAAAGTGTTTCCACAAAGACAATGGCTCTTTCGCATGCTGTGTCTGCCTCTTTAACTGAACCAAGGACAAAATCTCAAATCCAATCACCTTTCATCTTCGTCCTTATGTTAAAACCATTAAAACCTCAAAACGGAAAGAGAAAAGATTCAACAAAGAACAAACAAGAGAAAAAAAAAATGGCAGAATCAAGAAACAACTTCTTTCCTCATCAGATTCTCTGTCTCTTTCTTGTCTCACAAGTTTCCATTGTCTCTAGTAACAGTAGCAGCGTAGGAGTGAACTGGGGAACAATGGCGAGTCACCAGCTCCCGCCTCAAAACGTTGTGAAGATGCTAAAAGACAACGGCTTTACAAAGCTGAAACTCTTCGAAGCCGACCAAAACATCTTAGACGCTCTAATCGGTTCAGAAATCGAAGTCATGATCGGAATACCAAACCGTTTGCTTAAAGAAGTCGCTCAAGATCCAGACGTAGCAGCTTCATGGGTCGAAGAAAACGTCACCGCTTATTATTACCACGGTGGAGTCAACATCAAGTACATAGCTGTCGGAAACGAGCCGTTCCTTCAGACATATAACGGGACTTACGTTGAGTTCACTCTACCAGCTCTCGTCAACATACAACGAGCACTAGAGGAAGCTGATCTGAAAACCGTGAAAGTCACGGTTCCTTTCAACGCAGACATCTATTTTTCGCCAGAATCAAACCCTGTTCCATCAGCTGGAGACTTCAGGCCTGAGCTCAGAGATGCAACGATCGAGATAATCAACTTCTTGTATACACACGATTCGCCTTTCACGGTCAACATCTACCCTTTTCTCAGTCTTTATGGAAACGCTTACTTCCCTTTGGATTTCGCCTTCTTTGATGGGACAAACAAGCCTTTGAGAGATGGAGATTTGGTTTACACCAATGTCTTTGATGCCAATCTCGACACTTTGGTTTGTGCTATGGAAAGATACAGCTTCTTGGGGATGAAGATCATCGTGGGAGAGGTCGGGTGGCCTACGGATGGAGACAAGAATGCTAATTCAAAGAGTGCAAAGAGATTTAACCAAGGAATGGTGAAGCATGCTATGTCTGGAAATGGAACGCCTGCGAGGAAAGGAGTGATCATGGATGTGTATCTTTTCAGCCTTGTAGATGAAGACGCCAAGAGTATTGCGCCAGGGACTTTTGAGAGGCATTGGGGCATCTTTGGTTTTGATGGGAGACCCAAATACGAGCTAGATTTGTCTGGTCAAGGCAAAGACTATCCTCTGGTTCCTGTGGAAGATGTCAAGTACCTGCCTAAAACATGGTGTGTTTTGGATCCGAATGCGTTTAACCTAGATGACTTGGCTGATAACGTCGACTATGCTTGTAGCTTATCTGATTGTACATCACTCGGGTATGGTTCCTCGTGCAACCATCTTACCAACATAGGCAATGCTTCATATGCGTTTAACATGTATTATCAGATGCACGATCAGAACACGTGGGAGTGTGATTTCTTGGGTTTGGGTTTGATCACAGATGAAGATCCCTCTGATGAGCTTTGTGAGTTTCCTGTGATGATTGATACAGGAAACTCACCGAGGTTGCAGCATAAATCTTTAAGAATGTTGACGCGAGTCGCAGCCACGGTTTTAGTTGTTTTGGTCCTTTCCCTCTTGTAGTAAGTATCATTGTAAATTTCCCAAATATTAGTACCTACAAAATAATCTTTCAAGCTAAAAGATTGTCCCCTTCGATTAAAATATACACATCTTCATTGATTAGATGAAATCAAACTTGAAAATTACATATAAACGCTAGAGAGTCTGAGAGTGGGATTAGGAGAGAGAGAGAGACCTGGTCCATGATCAGCTTTAGAGTGTCGATATATTGACTAAACACCAACACTTTCTCTTTCACTGTTTCACTGAATCGGATGAAGTCGATCAGGAACCTTGTCTTCACACCTTGGAGTTTAGTCTAAGCCTCTCCAGGTTTGAGTTTCCCAATATTTTTGGCCTAAAGGTAAGGCTTTCAATCTTTAGAACAAATGCCTAGAATACTCCTATATTTTAAATTTTATTCTCTAATACTCCACCTCTAATATTTTTTTTTTTTAATTCGATAATAATGTATAAAATCTAAAAACCCAATCATCTCTAATATATTAATGTGGATGCACTATTGAACACTTGGCAGCTCTAAGATTAAAGTTGGTATTTAGCTATATTATTAATTCGTTTAATTTTAATTCTCCTACTATCTCTATAGCCAAACAGACCGTTATTTCCTAAAACACATTTAACTGCATTAAAATTTTCAAATATTTTCACATATTCTACTTTTAATTCTTTCATTCCTATAAATTCGAAAGGTGAATATTTTCTTAGAGAAATTTTCTAAACAACTAATAACAATATTTTAAACTTCAAACGGATTTAGTAAGTATTTATATTTTCGTATATTCTACATTGAATTTTTTGGTTCCTATATTTTCGAAACGTAGATATTTTCCTAGATAAATTTTATAAACTACTAATAACAATAATTTAAACTTCAAACGGATTAAGTAAGTATCCCTCAATTTATATTTTTTGCATTGTTTGCAAACGTAGATATTTTCTTTGCATATATATATATATATATATTGTTCAATACTAATTTACGGATCCCTCAATTTAAGCAATAATATGATACAATATTAAATAATTTTTCTTTCTTTCGTCTAAGATCTTGCAATGATTTCTAAAGATTACGCAAAAATCTTAACAATAAATAGAATATTTTAAAAGATTTCATAACAAGCTTTGTCTCACTCTTTTCACTATATAAGAAGATCATTCCATTGAACGATCATGAGATTTTTTTATTTTTTATTTCTTATTGTTTTCTCTTCTATTAACGAATATAGCCGATTTCATGAATACTAATGTGGTTTTTTAATATGTTTCAGATGATGTTTAGCGGATAAATCTATTGAATATGGATGAAAGTTTCTTGGTAAAGCTCTTCACCAATCTTCCACCGTCTTCTTAAGTACTCTCTCTCGATTTCCTAAATCTCTCTATATATATATTATATATGTGTATTCTTATGTATGATTGTTTGAACTTTGTAAACTGTTTTGTCACAAAATCTACTTTCGGTTTGTAAACGATATTGTTTTAGCACGGCAGTGTTCTGGAATATATCCATGGCCGTGTTTTTCCAGATTGTCACTTTTATCACCTAAACTGAGGTGATCGTATAAGTTGATCGATTATATATTTCCTTATTTCTCTTAACCTCTTCTTTCGCCTGATCAATTTCATGATCTCTTATATAGCCATCGCACAAGAAGTTGATCAGGAAGATGATAAAAAGAAATATTCTTTGTTTGTTTAATTTTTATTTTCTCTTTTATTTAGCGCACATATGTTATTGGCATGTTTGTTACTTGCTTTGTTTTGTTTTTTTGTACATCACAAAATGGCGAGAAAGTATGTGAGACTTTAAAGTTAAAGTTAAAAAATCCATACCTCTTTTGAGATTCTTCGACGTATCTAAATGTCATAATCCATGTGAAATCGTTCTTTGGATTTTTTTCGATCGCCTTACTTCGTCTATTTCTTTGGAGATCAGGTATGGAGATACTGAAATTTCCAAGAAATAGAAAACAGTTTTAGCACAAGAAAAAAAGGAAATTGAAAAGAGAATCACTTACATAAACATTAAAATGTGTTTCTATACATTCATTAAGTTCTCTTTGTCACTGTCTCTGGCTCATTCTTTGTTTTTTGTAATTTCAGATTGTTGGTATCTTCTCATATGAGTTGCGCGCAATTATTTTGACGAATAGATCCATTGAAAAGAAAATATGTAAACATTTATTATTGCAGGGGATTAATGGCAGACAAATGCCATTGAGATACCGATTTATTCAGCTGTTCATTCATACTACTGATGGTTTCAACGATGGAAACTATGTCAACATACAGCTCCTTCGTATGACTATGTTTCAAGGTTATCTCTTCTTCGTATGGTGATGGCTCGATCTGCTCTACTGTTTTTTGTTGCTTTTGACTCTCATATTCACGGTTTGATATGATTGTATTTGCTTTGATCTCTCATAACCACCTTTTTTTTTGCTTGGATATTGTGGATCCTAAATTCCACACTCAAAGATTTAGTGTTTAGTTTAGTGGAAGAAGAAAGTGGGCAAGAATTCTGATAAAGATCGATGTGAAATAGAAGACTAAGATCGACGAATTGGATTTGTATTAATGATATTATAAGTTTACAAGTGTGTTTCTATCTGAAAATCAGATGATCTTTTACATAGAAGTGATATCCTATTTATACTAAACAGACCGACTCGAACTCCTTCGAGATTCGCGGGATGTTGCGATCTCCCATCTTCCGATATCTCTGAGATCTTCTCTTATCCAGGCTGCTTGCTCCTAAAAGCTCGCCACGATCTATCGAATATCCTTCCAAGATGCTTTTTCCTTTCGTTAACGAGCTTTGGGCCCAGAAAGGCTGATGTGATGATTAACTCGAAGTATGGGCCGGACTTGTGCTAAGTCCAACACCAACATTTGCCCCCCAGCCCATTTAGTGAGCTTCGAACTAAAGGGGCGGATTAATTGCGGGATACTTTGATTTTCCCTCTTTCTTTAGAGATCTTATTTAGACGGTCTAGATTGTCTTTCCTACGAATGAAAGGCCGAGATTTCTTTAACCATCAAGCCTTAAGATTTTCCTCGATACGATGTATTCAAATCTTACTGAGATATGGTAAGATCTTGTTCGCAGATGGTGATGAGCGGTTCGGATTTGATCTCGCGATGATTTTGTCAATCTCAATAGCAGTAATAATTGCTACTTTATAAGGATCAACTTCCCACGTCTTTTCACCATAACTGCACGCCTCCACTTTCTACAAGGTAACTTCTCACCTCCTTTTCTTTTTATTTTGGTTTTCAGCTTCTCTCGATTTCCTTTGCTCGAAAAACAAAACAGTTTTATACTTTTCGCTAAAACTTCGCTTCGAGAAGAATTCTATTCCGAAACATTCTCCGATGGATCATCCCGATGTCCCAACAGTCTCGATCGTTTCACCGAAAGAGCTTGTTCGCCTCCGCCGAGTTCACAACTTTCCCTCGGCGATCGAACTCATTGTCCCGGATAGAGGAAAGACGCCGAAGACCGTGCGTGCGGGCTATTGCGTCGCATACACCCCATTTTTTGATGCATGCGGGCTTTCCTTCCCAATTCCGCTGGGTCTTCTTGTTATCCTGGCAGATCTGCAGTTGGCGTTTCCGCAGATGAACCCTAACTTCGTCCGCCATGCCTTGGCGTTGCTGGTTAGGGCGGCGGAGTCTCGAATTCCTTTTGGAATTAACGAGCTCCACCGAGTTTGCTCTATTAAGAGCAATTCATCCTTCCCGGGATCGTTCTATCTATCTCCTCAAAAGAATCGAAGCATCTTCGAAGACATTCACGCTCGCGACGATCGCTGGAAGGAGAAGTATTTCTTCTTTAGGATCAACGAATACTCCGTTGGGTCTTTCGATTTCAGTCGGCTACCGACTGTTTGGTCTCCGAGAGTTGGTCAGCATTAGGGGAGTTGATTTTATTCTCGCTTCTATGCCCTTTGCTAACTATCATTTCTTTTTTGTTGCAGTTGTTCCAACGAACACGGGCTTAGACAAACCGCTGCTTGCTGCTTTGAAGGACGGTGACTGTTCGTGGCCCAATTTCACGAGGGAGAGGATTCATCGTGCGCTTGGAACGGATAACCCGCAACTCGCTATCGCTCCAGATCCCGAGATTGACCCGTTGAACCCACCTTCCATCAACCGTCCCGCTAATTTCCACCAGATCCTGATTGGTTAGTTCGATTCATTTTTAGTTCGTCCGAACCATGCTCTTTGATTTGGCGAGCTATTATATAGTTCGTGCTTTTTTGTTTTTCAGGTACCAGCCGTCGGGAAGTCCTAGACGCAACCTCTTCGAGTACCTCACATCAGCCTTTGATCCGCAGGCCATCTAAAGAAAAAATGACTAGGAGACCATCAGCTCGCGAGGCCGAAAAGGCAAGGAAGAACAGGGCTCAAGCTGGGAGCTCCGAGCTGTCCGTACTGGTGAGATCCATCGCGCTGTGAGCGACGCGCTTGAACAAGCCTTTGGGGCTTACGAGACTCCGGCCGGAGTTCTTCCCGCCGACCCAACATCGAGGGCTATCTCGCTTAGTTCGCGAGATTCCGAGAAGACTTCGCGTTCAAAGAAGCAAAGGGTGGAGGATCCGGCTCCGGATAGGAGGTCGAACTCCTCAAACGGGTCAGGTGGATCGATCCCGTATGGTTGGACTTTCAACCATACTAAAGGGTGTCCAATCGCTGATGATCCGGAGGGGATAGCTTTCATTTTCCGGCACTTCAAGCCTCCGGGTTGCGTGCTGCCCCCAGTTCGGGATATGGCGGAGCATGCCGCCTATGTGAAGATGATGGCTGCTCACGGCCGGGTACATGTTTTTACTTGTTTTTTATTTCTGGTGTATGCTCGTACTAACGGGCTTTCTTTTGGTCAGGCTCTTGAGGCTGTCAACGAGTACTCTGCCGTACTTGAGGACAAGTCTCTGACCATGCCCACCTCCGACGAACTCGAGGAGATGAAGAAGACTGTGTTCGACCTTTCGTTGAAGGTCAAGAACGCGGAAGACAAGGAAAAACGTCTGGAGGCCCAGCTTCGATCTGCGAAGACGGTGGCGGACTCTGCGAGCCGGTGTGCTGACGATCTGACCGAACAGGTTGTGGTCTCAAGGAGGAGGTCGATGCGAGGGTCAGGCGGGCTGTTAGGGAGGCAAAGCGGGAGTTCACTGAGAAATATCTGGCCATCTTCCATTCTCTTAAGGATAAGTGGGAGAAGAAGAAGGTCGAGGCTGCATGTGAGGCATAGCTCCAAGAGGTTGAATCCAACTTGGATCTCATCAAGGATCTGATCAGCGGAGCTCTCACAGCTCCGGACGAAAAAGCTTGCTTCGAAGAGAAGATTCCTGAGCTTGCTCAAAAGCATGCTGATGCTGAAGTGTCTGATTTCTCCCTCGCCAAGCTCGATCTCCCGCAGATCTCGGAGGCGTCGGTGAGACCGATGGAGGTTGATCCAAGGACGCAAGTTCCGCTCGGGTTTAATCAGTTTGGGAGTAACGCCGCTGCTGGAGGTGGAGACGAGCTTGTTGGTGACTCGGCGATCCCGATGGAGAAAGATGATGGCGAGAACGAGCCTAAGGAGTAATCCTCCTTTTTTCTTTAGCCCCTCCTCTCTTTTTACTTTTTCGTGAACTTAGTTGCCTGTGAGGCTTTTCGTTGTGTTTTTTTCTTGATTTCAGTACTTTTGTTACCCGGGAGGGTTTTAATCCGTACTTGGTTGTTTTTGCCTAGAGGAGGCTACTTAGCTTGCCGGTGCCTCGCTCCTTAGTGTTGTCGAATACCTTGCGTAGCACGAGGTCGCCAATACTGAAGCTCCGGTGTTTGACTCTGGAATTGTAATAGCGAGCTGCGGCCTGCTGGTAATTCTGGATGCGGACTAGGGCTCGATCTTGTTGTTCTTCGATCATATCTAGCCGATCTCTTAGCATTTCTTCATTGAGTTTTCTATTATCGGGACAAAAGGTCCGACGGATGCTCGGTACCGATGCTTCGGCCGGGATAACAGCTTCCATGCCATTGGCTAGAGAGAAAGGTGTTTCTCCCGTAGTTCGATGGGGCGTAGTCCTACACGCCCAAAGTACCCCGGATAGCTCGTCGCTCCACCGCGATTTCTTTGAATCCAGCCTCTTTTTGAGGTTGCTTAGGACAGTTTTGTTAGAGGCTTCCGCCTGTCCGTTACCTTGCGGGTATCGGGGTGTGGATGATGTGAGCTTGATTTTCCAAGTATTACAGAACTTTGTGAACTTTCTCGATGTTAAGTTCGTCCCGTTGTCCGTTATGATCTCGTCAGGGAGGCCGTGTCTACAGACATTGTTTTTCCAGACGAAATTTTCGACTTCCGATTCGGTGATTTGTTGGTAAGCTCGGGCCTCTATCCATTTGGTGAAATAGTCAGTTAGGACGAGTAAGAAGCGGACTCTAGTGCGTCCTGAGACCACCAGTGGTTCCACTACGTCCATCGACCATCTCATGAATGGGTAGGGTGCGGATATTGAAGATAGCTTTTCAGCTGGTTGATGGATCATTGGTGCATGTCTTTGGCACTTGTCGCACTTCATGGCATAGTTTTCGCAGTCTGCAATGATGGTGGGCCAAAAATAGCCTTGTCTTTTGATGCGGACTGCCATAGCTCATCCTCCGGAATGGCTTCCGCACATTCCTTCGTGCATTTCGGCCATAATTGTTAGGGCCTCGATACCGTGTACGCACATGAGGTAGGGTTCTATCAAGCTACGCTTGTATAGTTTATCTTCCATGATGCAGTATCGAGCACTTTGAGCTTTTAACTTTCTTGCTGCCCATTTGTCGGTGGGAGCTATACCGTCCTGAATATACTCCGTGACTGGAGTTCTCCAGTCCGGTCTATCTAAGAACTCTTCGCAGTCATCCAGTTCAGTATCGGGCGGTTCACTCAAGTATGCCATGAGCTGTTTGAACGCCGTTTCACACTCATCATTCCATTGAAACCTTTTGTTCCCTTTTAAGAGTTGGTAAAAGGGTAAACATTTGTCTGTTGACCTCGAAATAAAATGGTTAAGGGCTGCTATTTGTCCTGTTAACCTTTGGACCTCCCTCGTGGTTCTAGGGGATGGCATTTCGAGGAAGGTTGCGATCTGTTTAGGGTTCGCTTCTATTCCTCTTTCGGTCACGATGTAACCAAGGAATTCTCCGGATGGTACTCCGAATGAGCATTTGGTCGGATTGAGTTTCATTCCGTACTGATTCAGTATTGTGAAGCATTCTTTAAGCTGTGCAACATGTTCCTCTTCTTTCGAAGATTTAACGAGCATGTCATCGATATAGACCTCCATGGTCTTACCGAGCTCTTTAGCAAACATTTTATTGACTAGGCGCTGGTAAGTAGCTCCCGCGTTCTTTAGACCGAATGGCATTATTTTGTAACAGTATGTGCCGCGGTCTGTTATGAACGCAGTCTTCTCTTGGTCTTCAGGGTTCATGAGTATTTGGTTGTACACTGAGAAGGCATCCATGAAGGACAATAGTTCGTGTCCTGCTGTAGCTTCTACCAATCGATCTATGTGAGGGAGTGGGAAGCTATCCTTCGGGCATGCTTTGTTTAGGTCGGTGAAATCTACACAGACTCTCCACTTCCCGTTTTTCTTTTTAACGACCATCGGATTGGCTAGCCAATCTGGGTACTTAACTTCCCTAATTGAGCCAACTTTAAGTAGTCGGTCGGGGCCGAGCTTACGGCGTTTTTTTTTGACGGGTTTGAAGGTCGGATTGACATTCAGTTCGTGGAAGGTTATCTGCAAGTCGATTCCAGGCATGTCCTCTGTGGACCATGCGAAGGTTGTAATATTCTCTTTGAGTAATTTTACGAGCTCGTCGCGGATAGAACTCGAGAGTTCTGATCCAATGTTGACTACTCGGTCGGGGTCTTTTTCGTCGATACAGACTGGCACGGCGAGGTCCTTGCACGGACCGCGAGTCGTGGGGTCGTTTCCCTGTTTTGCCCGCTGTTCGGCGAGTTCTTCTTGTTTCTGTAGTTGCTACAAAGGGGATTGTTCGATTTGCCTGTGTCCGGTCATGTAGCACATTCTGGAAGCTCGTTGGCTTCCGCGGACTGTCTTGACTTCCTCAGCGGTTGGGAAGTTCACGCATTGATGGTATGTAGAAGGTACTGCTCTCATATTGTAGAGCCATGGCTTCCCTAGTATGGAATTGTAGGGGGCGGAGCGATCTACAACTTCGAATACTGTCAGTTGTTGGACTCCACCAGCTACTATCGGGAGCGTGATAGTACCCATCGAATAAGTTGTTTCGCCTGCGAAGCCTGTTAGCGGCGATCTAGTGCTGCAGTATGTCGTCACCAAAGCCCATTTGTTTGTACGCGTTATAGAATAACACGTCGACCGAGCTCCCCGTATCGATCATAATCCTGGATAGCTCGCACCCCCTACGTTTAGACGAACTACTAGAGCGTTATCGTGTGGTTTGTCTAGATCGAGTGTTTCGCTTTCCAGGAAAACTACTTTGTGGTTGGGACCATGTAGGGGAGCGCACTCCCGCATATCGGTCTCGACCCTTCTTTGGTAGGCTTTTATCGAATTTACTGAATTTCGGCAGTATTTGGAGCCCCCGGATATGAAATTTACTCGCTTAGGCTTGGTATGCTCGAAGAGTTCCCGGACTCCCTGGAATTTGAAGAGTTCCAGTTTTGCAGACTTACGAGCTTCCACTAGCTGGTTGTTAGTTTGCGGCTTTGCATTCTTTTTGGGAGCGGGTGAAGGTGAGATCACCAATTTCATAAATCCTCCACACCGAGTTATTCCCCTAAATATGAGGTTTATTCTCTTTTAGGGCCCGGAGGGGGGGAGCTCGGATTTTCATCCGTGGGAGCTCGATCTCTCTTCTTATTTGAAGTTTTTGAGTTTTCCGGTTCCTAGTTTTTTCCTGTGGGCTCCCCCTCTTGTTCTGCGGCTTTTGCGGCGAGTTTAGCCTTTTCGGCTAAGACTGTGCGGCATTCTTCTGTAGAATGTCCCTTCTTATTATGATGAGTGCAGAATTTGCTCGCATCATAGGTCGATTTTTTATCCTTCTTTGGCTCTTTTTTCGATGAGCTACCTATTTTGAAGGCATGTATCCCTTTGCCGCCGGGCTCCTTTTTGGTTGCCTTTTTGGTAGTGGCGGGACTAGGCACTAATAAACCTGCCTCGTACTGTTCTCGGAGGATATTCTGTTCCTCCTCGTACTGGGCAAAGCTCGCGGCTCTATGGAGCGCATCATCTATTGTTTCCAGATAACGAACTGATAGTTCTTGTCGGAAGGGCGAGTCGAACCATAGCCCTTGTTTGAGCGCAGAGAGTGCTATTCCCTCATTCAAATTGGCTATCCTGGACTTAATTTCTTTGAACCTGGCCAAGTAAGCCCGCAGGGGTTCCTGGTGGTTCTGTCTGCATGTTCTGTCTGCATGTCTATGGATCCTTCTTCTAGTCCGGCGAACCATTCTAGGGCGGATCCGGCTAAGTTTTCGGCGAAGAGCCGGCAATAGCCTGCTTCCTTTTCCTCATCGTTGAGGTGAGCTCGGGCTACGGAGAGCCTGAAAGCTCTGAGGTGAGCTAAGGGATCTGCTGTTCCATTATATTCTGGAAACTGCATTTTCCCAGTGTCCTTGATCTTAGCATTAGCTATGCGATCTGTAAAGGGATTCTTTCTAGTTTCGTCCAGCACGCGATCTATATCAAGAGCCTCGTTCGTTGCTTTTTGTACTGCGGCGTACATACGTTTCAGCTCGGCGTTGTTTGCTTCGATGTATCGCTGGAGCGCGTCGAAGTCGTTTATAGATCGCGGATCTGTGATCTTTGGAGGATCCTTCGCGCGCTTCTTATGCCATCGAAGTCGTTTATAGATCACGGATCTAAAGATTGTTGCACGAGTATGTCAATAAGAAGCGCGTCGCGGATATATAATACTATGACGCGATCCCTAAACAGATCGCAACCTTCCTCGAAATGCCATCCCCTAGAACCACGAGGGAGGTCCAAAGGTTAACAGGGTGAATAGCAGCCCTTAACCGTTTTATTTCGAGGTCAACAGATAAATGTTTACCCTTTTACCAACTCTTAAAAGGGAATAAAAGGTTCCAATGGAATGATGAGTGTGAAACAGCGTTCAAACAGCTCAAGGCATACTTGAGTGAACCGCCCATACTAACCAAGCCTGTCGAAAGAGAACCTTTGTACCTCTACGTAGCTGTATCTCCAGCCGCAGTAAGCGGTGTGCTTGTTCGGGAAGAACAGAACGAACAGAAACCAATCTACTATGTGAGCAAAACACTAGTAGACGCCGAAACAAGATATCCTGCTATGGAAAAGCTAGCTCTAGCGGTCGTAATGTCCGCCAGAAAGTTACGACCGTACTTTCAATCGCATTCCATAGTAGTAATGACCTCTCAACCTTTTCGCACTATATTGCACAGTCCGAGCCAATCCGGACGGCTCGCGAAGTTGGCTATCGAGCTAAGCGAGTACGATATAGAGTACAAAATCCGGACTTGTGCGAAAGCCCAAGTCTTAGCGGACTTTGTCATCGAGCTTACCCCAGATCCCGACGATGTATCACCATCCAGCCAAAAGTGGACACTCCACGTAGATGGCGCATCGTCAAAACAAGGATCAGGAGTTGGAATCAAACTGGTTTCCCCAAAAAATGAAGTCCTCGAACAGTCTTTCAGACTAGGATTCCAGACCTCCAACAATGAGGCCGAATACAAAGCCCTCATAGCCGGTCTCAGACTAGCTCTCGGGATCGGAGTTCGAGAAATAAGCGCGTTCAGCGACTCCTAGCTCGTAACCAGCCAATTTCATGGCGACTACATAGCAAAAGAAGAACGGATGGAAGCATACTTAAACATCGTCCGCCAAATAGCAAATCAGTTTAGCTCATTCGAGCTAACCAGAATTCCTCGGGGGGAGAATACCTCCGACGATGCCCTGGCAGCCCTAGCATCCACCTCCGACCCAATGGTCAAAAGGGTGATTCTCGTAGAAGGAATTGAAAAACCAAGCATCGACCTAGCTCCCAAGGCAGTCAACTTAGTAACCACCTCCGACGAGGCCGGGCCATCCAACACACCTGGGCCAGAAGCCACGACAAGCCAGCCCGACAGCCCGGTCAATGCACCGCCTGATCCCAAGAACTAGTCTGCTCATCCAGAGCCCGATACTGAACTGGATGACTGCGAAGAGCTCTTAGATAGACCGGACTGGAGAACTCCAATCACGGAGTATATTCAGGACGGTATAGCGCCCACCGACAAATGGGCAGCAAGAAAGTTAAAAGCTCAAAGTGCTCGATACTGCATAATAGAAGGTAAACTATACAAGCTTAGCTTGATAGAACCATACCTCATGTGCGTACACGGTATCGAGGCCCTAACAATTATGGCCGAAATGCACGAAGGAATGTGCGGAAGCCATCCCGGAGGACGAGCTATGGCAGTCCGCATCAAAAGACAAGGCTATTTTTGGCCCAGCATCATTGTAGACTGCGAAAACTATGCCACGAAGTGCGACAAGTGCCAAAGACATGCACCAATGATCCATCAACCAGCTGAAAAGCTATCTTCAATATCCGCACCCTACCCATTCATGAGGTGGTCGATGAACGTAGTGGGACCACTAGTGGTCTCAGGACGCCCTAGAGTTCGCTTCCTACTCGTCCTAACTGACTATTTCACCAAATGGATAGAGGCCTGAGCTTACCAACAAATCACCGGATTGGAAGTCGAAAATTTCGTCTGGAAAAACATTGTCTGCAGACACGGCCTCCCTTACGAGATCGTAACGGACAACAGGACGAACTTAACATCGAGAAAGTTCACAAGGTTCTGTAATACTTGGAAAATCAAGCTCACATCATCCACACCCCGATACCCACAAGGTAACGGATAGGCGGAAGCCGCTAACAAAACCGTCCTAAGCAACCTCAAAAAGAGGTTGGATTCAAAGAAATCCCGGTGGAGCGACGAGCTACCCGGGGTACTTTGGGCGTGTAGGACTACGGCCCATCTAGCTACGGGAGAAACACCTTTCTCTCTAGCCTATGGCATGGAAGCTGTTATCCCGGCCGAAGCATCGGTACCGAGCATCCGTCGGACCTTTTGTCCGGATAACAGAGAACTCAATGAAGAAATGCTAAGAGATCGGCTAGATATGATCGAAGAACAACGAGATCGAGTCCTAGTCCGCATCCAGAATTACCAGCAGGCCGCAGCTCGCTATTACAATTCCGGAGTCAAACACCGGAGCTTCAGTATTGGCGACCTCGTGCTACGCAAGGTATTCGACAACACTAAGGAGCGAGGCGCCGGCAAGCTAGGCACAAACTGGGAAGGCCCTTATAGAGTCACCGAAGTAGTGCGCAGCGGCGTGTATAAGCTCGCAAACAATAAAACCGGAGTGCCAGAGGAAAGACCATGGAACGTTATGAATCTCAAGCGTTACCATGTCTGAGCATTGACAATAATCAAACTACGTTCAGGCTTGATCCCTTGACGGGGTACGTAGGCAGCTCGACATTGAGTCCAGCCACTATCTTTACATACTCAGATACTTTGTAAAAACGTATGTGATCAAAAGTTTTGTGAATAAAAACCCTTGTTTCAAAACACTCTCTTGCGATCTCTTCAAACGATCTCACAGCTCGAGGCTCATAGCCCGCTATGCATCGATTGAGCCGAACTATCTCAGCTTAGTTCGCTGCTAACTTTAGGTAGCTTCCAAACGACCCCCCAAAACGGTCTCATAACTTATAGATTACGGTTCACTAACAAACATTAAAACAAAATTACAGCAACCCCGTTATTCACAGTAAGTTATCAATAAACGATCTGTTCAAACGATCGCAAAGCTCGTAGCTCGCTGAGTCACTTAGCGCTTACAAAATAAAGTTACTATCACAGTTCGATACTCGCAACTTAATACTATGACGCGATCTCCATAAACGATCACATAGTATTCACTTCGGCACTATCTAAACAAAAAGTCTTTTCGAAATCTTTTTCTAAAGTCTTAAAATACAATCAAACAAATCGATTACTTAGACGAAATCGAAAAGTGAAAACAAATTCATAAGCAAAGTAGCCTCCTCTAGGCAAACAACCAAGTACGGATTAAAACCCTCCCGGGTAACAAAAGTACTGAAATCAAGAAAAAAACACAACGAAAAGCCTCACAGGCAACTAAGTTCACGAAAAAGTAAAAAGAGAGGAGGGGCTAAAGAAAAAAGGAGGATTACTCCTTAGGCTCGTTCTCGCCATCATCTTTCTCCATCGGGATCGCCGAGTCACCAACAAGCTCGTCTCCACCTCCAGCAGCGGCGTTACTCCCAAACTGATTAAGCCCGAGCGGAACTTGCGTCCTTGGATCAACCTCCATCGGTCTCACCGACGCCTCCGAGATCTGCGGGAGATCGAGCTTGGCGAGGGAGAAATCAGACACTTCAGCATCAGCATGCTTTTGAGCAAGCTCAGGAATCTTCTCTTCGAAGCGAGCTTTTTCGTCCGGAGCTGTGAGAGCTCCGCTGATCAGATCCTTGATGAGATCCAAGTTGGATTCAACCTCTTGGAGCTCTGCCTCACATGCAGCCTCGACCTTCTTCTTCTCCCACTTATCCTTAAGAGAATGGAAGATGGCCAGATATTTCTCAGTGAACTCCCGCTTCGCCTCCTTAACAGCCCGCCTGACCCTCGCATCGACCTCCTCCTTGAGACCACAACCTGTTCGGTCAGATCGTCAGCACGCCGGCTTGTAGAGTCCGCCACCGTCTTCGCAGATCGAAGCTGGGCCTCCAGACGCTTTTCCTTGTCTTCCGCGTTCTTGACCTTCGACGAAAGGTCAAACACAGTCTTCTTCATCTCCTCGAGTTCGTCGGAGGTGGGCATGGTCAGAGACTTGTCAAGTACGGCAGAGTACTCGTTGACAGCCTCAAGAGCCTGACCAAAAGAAAGCCCGTTAGTACGAGCATACACCAGAAATAAAAATAGGCCAACAAGTAAAAACATGTACCCGACCGTGAGCAGCCATCATCTTCACATAGGCGGCATGCTCCGCCATATCCCGAACTGGGGGCAGCACGCAACCCGGAGGCTTGAAGTGCCGGAAAATGAAAGCTACTCCCTCCAGATCATCAGCGATCGGACACCCTTTAGTATGGTTGAAAGTCCAACCATACGGGATCGATCCACCTGACCCGTTTGAGGAGTTCGACCTCCTATCCGGATCCTCCACCCTTTGCTTCTTTGAACGCAAAGTCTTCTCGGAATCTCGCGAACTAAGCGAGATAGCCCTCGATGTTGGGTCGGCGGGAAGAACTCCGTCCGGAGTCTCGTAAGCCCCAGAGGCTTGTTCAAGCGCGTCGCTCACAGCGCGACGGATCTCACCAGTACAGACAGCTCAGGAGCTCCTAGCTTGAGCCCTGTTCTTCCTTGCCTTTTCGGCCTCGCGAGCTGATGGTCTCCTAGTCATTTTTTCTTTAGATGGCCTGCGGATCAAAGGCTGATGTGAGGTTCTCGAAGAGGTTACGTCTGGGACTTCCCTACGGCTGGTACCTGAAAAACAAAAAAGCACGAACTATATAATAGCTCGCCAAATCAAAGAGCATGGTTCGGACGAACTAAAAATAACTCGAACTAACCAATCGGGATCTGGTGGAAATTAGCCGGACGGTTGATGGAAGGTGGGTTCAACGGGTCAATCTCAAGATCTGGAGCGATAGCGAGTTGTGGGTTATCCGTTCCAAGCGCACGATGAATCCTTTCCCTCGTGAAATTGGGCCACGAACAGTCACCGTCCTTCAAAGCAGCAAGCAGCGGTTTGTCTAAGCCCGTGTTCGTTGGAACAACTGCAACAAAAAAGAAATGATAGTTAGCAAAGGGCATAGAAGCGAGAATAAAATCAACTCCCCTAATGCTGACCAACTCTCGGAGACCAAACAGTGGGTAGCCGAATGAAATCGAAGGACCCAACGGAGTATTCGTTGATCCTAAAGAAGAAATACTTCTCCTTCCAGCGATCGTCGCGAGCGAGAATGTCTTCGAAGATGCTTCGATTCTTTCGAGGAGATAGATAGAACGACCCCGGGAAGGATGAATTGCTCTTAATAGAGCAAACTCGGTGGAGCTCGTTAATTCCAAAAGGAATTCGAGACTCTGCCGCCCTAACCAGCAACGCCAAGGCATGGCGGACGAAATTAGGGTTCATCTGCGGAAATGCCAACTGCAGATCCGCCAGGATAACAAGAAGACCCGGCGGAATTGAGAAGGAAAGCCTGCATGCATCAAAAAATGGGGTGTATGCGACGCAATAGCCCGCACGCACGGTCTTCGGCGTCTCTCCTCTGTCCGGGACAATGAGTTCGATCGCCGAGGGAACGTTGTGAACTCGGCGGAGGCGAACAAGCTCTTTCGATGAAATGATCGAGAATGTTGGGACATCGGGATGATCCATCGGAGAATGTTTCGGAATAGAATTCTTCTCGAAGCAAAATTTTTGCGAAAAGTATAAAATTGTTTTGTTTTTCGAGCAAAGGAAATCGAGAGAAGCTGAAAACCAAAATAAAAAGAAAAGGAGGTGAGAAGTTACCTTGTAGAAAGTGGAGGCGTGCAGTTATGGTGAAAGGACGTGGGAAGTTGATCCTTATAAAGTAGCAATTATTACTGCTATTGAGATTGACAAAATCCTCGCGAGATCAAATCCGAACCGCTCATCACCATCTGAGAACAAGATCTTACCATAGCTCAATAAGATTTGAATACATCGTATCGAGGAAAATCTTAAGGCTTGATGGTTAAAGAAATCTCGGCCTTTCATTCGTAGGAAAGACAATCTAGACCGTCTAGATAAGATCTCAAAAAAAGAGGGAAAATCGAAGTATCCCGCAATTAATCTGCCCCTTTAGTTCGAAGCTCACTAAATGGGCTGGGGGGAAAATGTTGGTGTTGGACTTAGCACAAGTCCGGCCCATACTTCGAGTTAATCATCACATCAGCCTTTCTGGGCCCAAAGCCCGTTAACGAAAGGAAAAAGCATCTTGGAAGGATATTCGATAGATCGTGGCGAGCTTTTAGGAGCAAGCAGCCTGGATAAGAGAAGATCTCGGAGATATCGAAAGATGGGAGATCGCAACATCCCGCGAATCTCGAAGGAGTTCGAGTCGGTCTGTTTAGTATAAATAGGATATCACTTCTATGTAAAAGATCATCTGATTTTCAGCTAGAAACACACTTGTAAACTTATAATATCATTAATACAAATTCAATTCGTCGATCTTAGTCTTCTATTTCACATCGATCTTTATTAGAATTCTTGCCCACTTTCTTCTTCCACTAAACCAAACACTAAATCCTTGAGTGTGGAATTTAGGATCCACATTTCCAACACCAACAGGTATGGTACGAACATATTTGTTTTTTGTGAGATCCTCACTTAAACATTACATCCAACCTAATCACTCACATCAAGGTTGGCACACCAAAGAAAGAATCTCTGACCATATGAGTTTATGGGAAACAGCATATGGAAGGAAATGGCGTCTAGCAATGAGTGACCATTTATAGAGATCGAAGAGATTGTCGTTTTTAGGAACTCTCCAACTCTTTATGGACCGTTGAGAAAAAGTCCTAACTCTTTGCAAGGATATACACAAATTCTCATATACCAAAAAAAAAAAAGATATTTGATTATTCATCTGATTGTAAATTTGAGTTTTATCATTAAAAAACACGGATGTAATGTTAGTGTTGATTGCAGCTTTTGTCGAGCAAATGCAACAAATTAAATCAAGGGTTCTATCATACAGCATACGAAACACGACACGAATGATAGAGCATAACTTATTTGTATAATTATTTTCTTTTTTGGGTTTATTTTCCAGTTCTTCAAATCCATATGCTTTAAGATTGTGGCAGCTGTTATGTTGTTGACTCTATTGTCCCAAATCCGTAGCACCTCCAGAATCTTTGTGAGTGGTGGTTCAATGCTCTGATTTTGATCTAATATTGATTATGTTCTTGAGGATCCCATAAAAAACAGTTACAACTAATTTTAAAAAAAAAGTTCCAGACGTAAGCAAAGAAATGATTTCCAAAAGGACAAATAGCTCCATCCCTTACGACTTAAAATAAATTCTAGGGTTAAAACAAAGATGAACTCTTATTTATAGTTTTGGATTTACGTATCATATTTCATAAAAGTGCAATGTTTATAGATGTAATTGTGAATGCAGTTGTGAATAAGAGTCATTATCTTATTTCCTCAAAATTTTCACGAATATGAAATTCAATTTGTAAGTTGTAATATCAGTAGCATGTATGCGACAAGTCAACAACTGAAATTAAATTAGAAATGCTCCATATTTTTTTTTAAAATAGTTCCAAATTAGATTGAGTTTGAGTTTAACCTTGAATATAAGCATATAAGCAAGAGACGGATGATAGTAGTTGAGTTGAGATTTTGAACGAAACTAATATATAATCATAATATGGATTAAAGTATAGGTGATTAGTTTGAATTTGATTTATTTTATTCTACTGATGTTTCACTCACATAGTTATTATTAGCTGAAAGTTCCTCGATATATAGATGATTGGTATGGGTTTTAACTTTAAGTCGTTAATGTACTTCAAAAGTTAAATTAATAGGTAACAATTTAAAATAAAATAAAATAAAATTTTATTTTGTTGGATTTTGAAGAAAACCATCGCTTGAATAAACATGCGAATTTAGATTGTGTGAGAATTTAGTAGAATTTAAAGATTTTAAAAGAAAATAAAAATTTATAAAGGATCACAGTTAAAATAAAATAAAAAATTCCAATTTCTCACATTAAAATAGTAAGGATAGCTAGAAATGTTAGATTTAGATATGAGTTACAAATGAAATTGTGATAAGAATATGTTTAAGTTTAAACACGAATATAAACATAAAAGAGATGGCTATAGTTGAGTTAAGATTTTGAATGGTTCTGATGTGTAATCACAATACATGTAAAAGCGTAAGCAATTAGTTTGAATTTGATTTATTTATTTTAGCTGATGTATCACTCCCACAATTATTATGATGAGCTAGAAGCTCCTCAGTTGATAAAATAATTATTCTGATCAGCTAGAAGTTCATCATTTGTTGATAAACTAAAAAAAATGATGAAGAGAATTTGACTTTAAAATAATTATCCAGTTTTCTTTCAAAAAATAAGTCATCGTTGGAACAAAAAAAAAATGGACAATGTAAATTTTTAGTAATATTTGACGGATTTAAAAGTGTTAAACCTTGATTAGATAATGTAAAATCTGACATGATAAAAAAAACCAACAAACAATCAACAATCTTTCAAACATATATAATTTAATAAAATAATTAGAAAAATAAAAAACTTTGTTAAGATGAATTTTGTTAAGATGAATTTTGAATATAAACATGAGTATAAACAAGAGACATATAATAATAGATGTGTTGAGATTTTGAACGATTTTAATGTATAATCACCATACGAGTAAAGGGCTAAGCCATTAGTTTGAGCTTGATTTTAAAGAAAGAACCAAAAAACAATCAATAATCTTTCAAACATATATAATTTAAGAAAATATTTAGAAAACTAATCTAACGATTATAATAAATCCGATACAGTAAACCATAATTAAAACACTATCATATTTCAAAAATTATTTAGTTACATATTTCAATATTTATATCATTAGCCATTTGTAACTAAGTATACATCTCATTTAAAAAATATTAAAGCCAACATTTTAAAAGTTAATTTTAATCTCGCGCATAGTTAATAATGGATTTATATTAAATTATTATGTTAAATAATTAATGGAGATATTTGGTAATATACTAATAATTTTAACGTTTGTTATTTGTTCTTACTTGGTATTTATGTAAACAAAGATACTTCGCTGTGCTATATCTCCAATTGTTTGTCTCCTTATATTTCAGCATTTGGAAAATATAATGACTAGATTTCCGGAAGAATTTAGATATGATAGTAATATTATTAGAAACTTTATGTTTAGGGTTCAGCATTCCTTAAATTAATCATTGTTAATATTTGATTACATATTCTATAATCAACTTTCCTTATTTACATATAATGAATATATACGTAACAAATCATTTAAAAAAAAAAATACGAATACGACTTCCATATATTTGTCATATTACTTATTTGAAGTTGCACAAAATATACGTTAATATTTAATTCTATAATCTGTTAAATGTATCGTAACTACTTCAACAAAACTATGGAAATATTCTTAAGTAATATAGAGAATCGTAATTTATGCCATCTAAGATATAACTAACAAGATACATATTCCTAAAATCACTGACTGTTGCAAATTTTTTTACAATTCATCGTATATACGCAAATAATTTTGGGATGTCATATCCTTAATTTACTAACATACTCCTATATAAACCTTTGCTGCAAACCATTTTATTCATCTTTAATCGAAAACTCAAACAAAATGCGTGAATACCAAATGGTGCATGAGTTACAATTTTGGGAGGATGGTTGGACAATTAAGGTGAAGATTTTAAAAAGATGGGGGGCCTTTGATGCTGACGGTCTTCGTGTGATGAATTTCATATTGGTTGATGAGAATGTCAGTTTGATACTCATCTCTATCAATGTTTTATATTATTAGTACTTCATATCGTTTTGCTACTAATGTTTTATATCAATTACCCTAACAGGGTTGCAGAATTTCTGCCTACGTTGGTAACCTCAATCTATCATATTTCGAATACGTTTTGCAAGAAGGAAATTAGGTGCATTTATCCAAATTCAAACTAATTCCTTCTAAGTGGGAAGAACGGACTACAAGACACGTTAATCAAATAATTTTAGATGGTGAAACTAAGGTCAGTTCCATCCGACCTTTGACTGGAAATCATTTCCTTCGTTTTGTTGATTTCAGCCGTGTTTACAATAAGCCTTACAGCCACTTCTACCCAGTTGGTAAGTATTAAAATTTATCTTTATTAATTATGTATTTAACTATGTTAGTGTTATCGATTATAGTATTGTATGATTGATTGTGTAATATTGATCAGTTGTGGTACTACAATATTTTTTAAACCAGATTTGATTGGTGTTCTGGATCATGTCGAAAATATGGTAACAGTTGTTTATCCCGATGACAAAAGTTTTCCAACACTGAGATTCCGAATTAAAGATCTGGAGTAAGTAATATAATGGTTTCATGTTTTTATATCATTATTTGAGATACAATATAATCATAATAATTATAATGTGTGGGAATTGTACTCTTAACTGTGTTGCACATGATGACTTGGCTTACGAGATAGAAGGGAAATGCAAAAGTCCTGTAGGGAAGAGTCCATTTGCTATTTGTGTCTTAACTGATTGGTTGGTTAAGAAAAATATTGGTGCGTTTATATGATTTTCATATTTATAAGACAACCTTATACATAGTCAAAAC